AAAAAAGATCAGTGCGAATAGAATGAGACTCCTATGCATACCTTTCAACTTTTTGATTGCAACATCAATAATGTTTCCGTTCTTTCTACCACAACGACCTTTGTAAACGATTCCATATTCCCCTTGGCCGAGTACTTCTTCAAGCACTTCGAGATCATCCAAGTCTTTTTCGCATTCTTCTTCAAGCGCTATGTTAAGAGATGTTAGCATTTGATCGCCATGTTTGTAGGTATCCATGCCACTTTCTTGATGTGGAATCACGTTGGCATCATCACAACCATCTTGAGCACTTAAATGACCACTCGGTGAGTTTAACAACTTTTCTGCATGGTCTTTTTGAACAAAGATGAGATTTCTGAAATTTTTTTCTCCAACATCTGGTGGAGTAGGAATCTTGCGTCCCTCTAGGAGCATCGAGTCGACACTCCCATCGTCTTGTTTGGGGTCTTTTCTTTCTGGTCGCATATTAGTATTTAGCTTTTCATCATCTACCAGCGGAGCGACAACATTTACCACTAAAGGCGCTGAACCGTTCTCATTATGATTGTCATCTTCCGCTATCCCCTCAGCCAAATCGTTGTTGGCCATGCAGACCACATACATTTCTCCCTCATCCCTGTTACCCTGTTATTGAAATGGATAGAATGTCAATATCTTCAACAGATAACAGTTCATGGTCACTAATGATTTGGTGATCGAAATGTCCAGTCGTTCAATAGTCGTTCAAATAGTTTGTTCTCCTCCATGAGTATTCTTTCCGATTTAATTCAGCAGAAATTTAGTTGCAGAAAAAATATCGTTTTGAGAGTTGGACAAAGTTAATTTTTAACCCTTTCCAGCCTAGCATCAGTATGCGTATTCCCTTTACTGTTTCCCATACATTCCCTTAGGTGCTCATGAGGAGAATTTGTTTCATAATCCAGAACTTTTCTTGTTGGTGACCATTTCCTTTATTCTCATCACCTTAATGTGCAATTTGAGGGTGATATTGTTAGGAGAAGTTAGATGCTAATCACTCTTAGGGGTTAAACAATCTATGAAAAATACCTGTTTATTTCTTCTTGCACGTCGATAGAAAAACGCCATGGTGCACCCGCACATGAATGTCATTATGGTGCCACCAAACACACTAAGCACAGTAATCAAGGAGACTGAACGATGCCGATCTTTTCTCGGTGACGCTGTTGCTGGATACGGCAGTTGAAAGAAGAGGAAAAATTGAATACGGTGAGAGTCGGAAAACTTGAGAAATTCCTTCAATTATTATCGGGTGAAATTTTATACTGAGCTATGCTGCATAATTGCCCTCACAGAAATTGAACGCACAGTTACAAACAGTATCAATCTGCGACCTCACCTAGCTGCTTAGTGAACAAGAACGCAAATTTTGGTGCTATTTCTCCAGCGCTGCTCTTTGTAACAATAATATTTGCCGTCGTCTTCTTCTTTTACCCCTCTTATTGACAGCTGGCTTTGCATGATGTTTTTGTCATCTAGTAGAATTGGAATGACTCTTGCTCTTGGGTTTGAGTTTGCAGCATTCGAATTATTGTTCTTGACCCATGTGATATTTGGCTTGGGAAGACCAGCTGCAGAACAGTTAAAAGTTACATTGGAACCGAAAAAAATAGCTTTTTTGGGGCCAGCTACGCTTGGCGAAAATAAATACGTCACAACAACTTGTATGCGTTCAGATTCCTTGTATTCTTGTAAACAACGATTTACATACGAGGATCTATCCAGCGACGATTCGAAGTTACTGCTTCATATAGGTTTGTCTCAAAATCCTTAGCTAAAAACTAAACTTGATAAAAAACGGCAAAAAAACTACAAACGACGCCCAAGCAACGCACATAGTGTGGGAAACTGCGCCCAAGGTATATTGTCAGCGGCGCTGTTAGTAGTACATAATTCAACGAATCATACATGCTTATGAGTCTTTCCCAGACTCCCCCTGGGTGGCTCGCTTCTGGTGGATTGAATTTCTATTCAATTCCTCTCTTAGTCAAGGTGGCTTGGATCCTCTCTTGATACTACACTTTCAAAGCCTTAACAACGTCCAACTCGGCTCCTCTGAAATTAGTACCGTTATCACTGTAAATAACTATTGGGGGATCTCGTCTGCTAACAAAGCGCAAAACTGCGTTGATAAAGCTATCTGTAGACAGGTCTTCGGCCACTCCAATGTAAACTGCTTAGAACCTCAGGCAACATGCATTCGTAACGCTTGTTTTAAGTCGTGCGAGTCGACCTGTAATCACTGACTTGTCGATGTCTATATAGGAAATGACTTTCTCTGTAAAAACTTTACAATTCTCTTCTCTGCTTGAGTCACTTCGGACACTGATAAAGGGGTGGGACTGAGCTTCAATTCTATCTTCGAACTTTTGCTTTGTTCAGCCCGTAATTTTGGATGTGAAGTCTGTGGAAAACACGAATGAGACACGCGACTAATCTTCACAGTCGACCCCATTTAGAACAGCGTTGAAACAGGGAGATCCTGAAATCTTTCTGTACGACAGCTGCTCCAACAGTAATCTTCGCTCTTTTAACTCCTTCGTCGCTGTCTAGGAGTGCTTCGGAAGCCTCTGTAGGCTGCGGGGGCAATTCGTCCTCGTTCTTCCATAAGAATTCAGCTCCATTTCTCCACATTTCTAGTTTCTTTCGCTGAGGCTTTGATTCCTCGAGAAGCATAGTCTGCAGGGTTGTGTTCTGATCTCACATGGGGCCACTGCCTTGGTTGTGACTCTTTCTGTATAATGGCCACTCGGTTGGGAACAAAGGTAACAAATCTTCGCGTTTCGTCAGCAATATACTTCAGGGCTATCATCGAATCACCCTACTAAGTAACACTGTCAATCCTCAATCTCCCTTTAAGTTACTTAGTTACGATCTTCTTGATCCAGGTAGCAGCGTTTAATTCTAATTTCGACTCGGTGACTGCGTTCTACAGTGGAACTGCAATGTATCTGTTCCATAGCCTTTCTCTTTCGACGCAAAATGATGTAGCTCTGCTCGTGCAACTCTACATAGCCTTCTGGCTTAAAGCACCTCGGGATCCTGAATCCCTGGAAACTCATAAGGCCTTCTCTCCACTTTCTCCAACGATTTCTTCTGAGATATTGTTGTCCCAACTTAGCTCTAATCTACACAGTTCTTGACTGATTTCTTTTCCGAGTAGTAGTAACGGACTGGCAAATCCAAGTGGATCGTATGCGGTCGCAACCGAGGACAGCACTCCCTTACGATTCTTTGGTCGTATCATGTTCCACGTCCCAATGGATCCATAGGGCCCCATCCAGAGGTAAGTTATCGGATTTTAAATCTAGATCCTTAATGTGCGGAGCTCTTTCTTCCACTGGAAATGCTAACAAGACATCTCGACGGTTTGAAATCCATTTTTGAGTTGGAAGCCACCTCTATTACCTCTCGAGATGGAAGTTGAATTTGATAATGCCCATTTACTAGGGTTTTTGACTGATCCATAATTACATTGGCTTTATGGTCTTCAACCGAGATGCCTTCTTCTACAGTTCCGTTCGTGTCT